TCAAAGGGAATATACTCATGCAAAGCAAACTCAGCAGATTGGTAAATCAGGTTCCAGTGACTGTTGAAAGTATTGATGCCTTGTACACAATTGGATTTAATTATCCACTGGCCCAAAATACCTCCATTGTTCCTGGTAGCCTAATCAGTAAAACAGTTGACTGTAGTATTGGAATGAGGGCAATGAATGTTCTCAGGGATATTTATTTTAATCAAGTTATTGAAGCTTAGTTGAGTTTGCCTTCTTTTCCTATTGTTAACAACACATACACTAAAGTTGGAAAGTGCAAGAGTGTGTCTTTTATTGTATTTTATTTGTTTATTTTTTATATTTATTTGGTGTGTGTGTATGTGTGTATGTGTGCCACTTCATGAGTGGGGTGTAGGTTCAAGGACAACTTTGGGAGTCAGTTTTCTTTATTTACCATGTGCTTTTTGGGTATTGAACTCAAGTCCTCAGGCTTGGCAGCAAGTGCTTTTGTACTCATTGAGCCATTAGACCTTCCCATTATTATTATCATCATCATCATCTTTTTTTTTTTTTTTGAATCAGTGACAGGGTCTCTCCATCTTTGGCTGTCCTCGAACCCACAAAGATCCATTTCCCTGTGCCTCTGGAGACTTGTATTATTTTTTAAATTTTCATTTTAGATTTAACTTTATGCATAAGTGTTTTGCTTCTGTCTCTATGTGCACCATGTGTGTGCCTGGTGCCCATGGAAGTAAGGAGGGTGTTGGATTCCCTTAGACCTGGAGTTTACAGATGGCTGTGAGTGCTGTGAACCAAACTTGGTTCCTCTGCCAGAGCAACAGTTAGTCTTAACCTCTGAGCTATCTCTCAAGCCTCTGTTTTTTAGATTTCTTTCTTTCTTTTTTTTTTTTTGGAGACATATTTTATTCTATAGCCCAGGCTGGCCTGGAACTTTACTATGTAGTCTGGACTGGCCTCATGGCAGTTCTCCTGCTTCAGCCTTCCTTTTTAGTGTTTTGAGACAGGGTTTCTCTGTGTAATAGCCCCTGCAGGCTGACCTTGAACTCAAGAGAACTGGCAGCCTTCGCTGCCTCCCCAGTGCTAGGATTAAAGGCATCATTCCCCCCCCCCCTTTTTTTTTCTTCAAGATAGAGTTTGTCTGTGTAGACTAGACTGTCCTGGAACTCCCTCCATAGACCAGGCTGGCCTCCAACTCAGAGATCCACCTGTGTCAGCCTCCTGAGTGCTGGATTACAGGCGTGGACATAAAGGCAAAACCACCACTGCGGGCTTATGTGTCAGCCTTTCAGATGCTAGGATTTCAGGCATCTGTCACCATACCCAGCTTGGGGTGTGTCCCAATACTCTCTCTCCCTTCCCAGGTTTAAAAACAAATCCATTCATATGTTTAACAGTGTGCCTGTGCTAAAATCTCAAATATACAAATAAGGTTACAGTCTACAGTAAAGTCATTTTCCATTGTTTGCTGACAAGTGAAGGAAGCACCTGGAATCTCTTTTCCCCCTGAGATTGGGGTCTTGTGTTGCCCAGGCTGGTCTGGAGCTTCTGGACTCAAGCCATATTCTTTCTTGCTTAGGAATATCACTGTTATTTCTCCACATCTAGCTTTGGGATTTCTTATAGCTAGATAGCTTAGCTTTAGCTAGAGATTTGATTTTTCCTAACCTTGTTTCTGAATTTGGTGATTCAATTTTGACTGTAGACTTTTGTAGTTAACAATTTATAAAATTTGTGGATTATTATTATTGAGAACGGGGTCTTATATAGGCCAGACTGACTTTGAATTCATGTAACACCACACCCAGTTCAAGGGCTGGAACTTTTTTTTTTTTT